GAGAAAAAGAATACTGGCCAAGCAAATTCAAAAATGTGTCATAAAGAAAAAATACAGGAAAAGAAGAGGGAAGGGAAAGAGAGAGAAACTAGAGCAACATGGAGGCCCAGATGGAAGACATGGTTTGCTTCCAATCAATTACTGTGATTTACCACCTCAGAGATTAAAATAGAAAAACATATGATCCTAACAAAAGAGAAAGAAAAGGCATTTGATAATATTCAACATAAGGAAGAAAACAAAAAAACCTCCTTGGTAAACCAGCAGTGGAAGGCAGCCTCCCAAATCTGAGAGGTTCTATGAAAAGCCAAGAATAAAAAGCCAAATTCAACTGTGAAACATTAAAACCATCCCCCGTTCAAAGTTAAGATGGAAGCGGACCACTCTCCACACCTCTACACAACACTGTGGCATAAGTCCAAGCCAATGTACCAAGAAGAGGAAAAGTGTCATTATTTATACACAATATAGTATCTGCATGGAAAATCCAACATAATGTCCAAAGTGCTACAATTAATAATAGAAGTTAATTGGTTGCTGGATTCATAATCAATATACAAAAGCCAATTATCTTTCTACATACCTATAACAAAAACTGCAACATAAAAATAGTTTACAGTGACAAAAGGATAAGGTAAAAGAATAAATCTGAGAAGACTTGCAAGAGCTTTATGTAACAAAAGACACCAATAGAAAGAGAAATACGTTCAGGGACATAAAAAAACACTGTATTTTAAAGATACCAATTTCGTCGGGCGCCTGGGTGGCTCAGTTGGTTAAAGATACTAATTTTGTCAAATCAAAGACCAAGATAATACAAAAGAGAATGAAAAATAAAGACCCACCTTACAGATTTTAAGAGCTATTTTAAATAATGGAGACAGTGTATCGATCTCCACATAGACAAACAGAAGAGCGCAGCACAACTGAAAACCCAGAGCTTAGACACACACAGAGACAGAAACGAGATCCCTAACAAACCTGGTATCACATATCAGAGAAGAGACAGATTTTCTAATACATGGTGCTTGACAACTAGTTACCACACGGGAATAAAGATTTCAATCCCACCTCTTAGACGTAAAAATAAAGTCCAAAAAAATTAATGAATTAAATGTGAAAAGAAAAGTTCTAATACTTTTGTTAGAACACATGGGAGAATTCAGGGGCACCTGGATGGCTCAGTCGGTTAAGTGTCCGACTCTTGAACGCAGCTCAGGTCTTGATCTCAGGGTCGTGAGTTCAAGTCCTATCACTTAGTTAAAAAAAAAAACAAATACAGGAGAATTCAATGTAGGTAAGGAGAAATTTCTTACATGAAACACAGAACACACAAACTATAAATAGAAAGACTGAAGAAATAGAAACAGAAAGGCAACCATAGCACTGAACAATAATGAAATTCATAATGATGACTCTAAATCATCAAGAAAAGGCTAAGTTATGAAGATCACACTCTGGTCTAAGAAGATAAAATCTTTCTGACCTTTCAGAAAGATTTTCATACAAAACAGTTATACCATCAAGACAACTGCATTAAAAGTACAAATTTCTATTCACCTATTCATCAAAAGACATCCTAACGAGAGTGAAAAGAGAAGCTATTTCTGGAAAAGGTATTTGAAACACATAAATGACAAAGAAATAAAATCTAGACTATATACAGAACTTCAACAAATCAGTAGAAAAAGACAGGATCTCTGTGGAGACAGTAAATGACCTTTCAGGCCCCTCCAAAGTCTCAAACGGGTTACAGGGGATCCTTCAGTTGTGCTCTTGTAACCTGTGGGTGGTGTTTTCTATGTGTGTGACTACAACCAAATACACCCTTATCTAAACGTTCGATCTGCATAAAATGTTAGTTATATATATCAACAGAATTTAATGCTAGGAATTTCTTAAATAACTGTTAATACAGAAAAACACACAAAATGAAACTGTTACAGTGATCCTTGGAGCAGAATGCTCTCCTGCCTCATGGGACTCTCACTCAACATTCATGTGCTTCCCTCCGTTCCCATGAGTACTTGGTTCTTGTCCCCCCAACTCAGTGAAGCTCTTACTTTCTCACTGTGGCCCACCGACTTCTCCTATCTCAAACTCAGCGCACATCTTTAACTAACAGTATGCCTCTATGGCCTCTCACCATTGTCTCTGCTGTGCGTTGCCCACGCACTGACCCTGTGCCGCACCACAAACACCTTGGAGCTAGCTGTCCTTCCTAATACTTCATACGGCAGTGTGTTATATTTACCACTAATGCGTACTCAGCTCCAAACCAGACTACCACTAAAAAAAAATTAAAGGCCTTAAGTAAAAATAGTATTTATATTTAATTATAAATGACAATTCAAAACAAACCTAAAGAAAACCTCATAAACTCTATCAAAGAATTGTACACAAATGAGATAAATTATGGAATTTTCAAACTTAATCCAACTATACCCAAATGAATAATAGTCTTTTTAAGGTTTTCTAGACTGTATTATATAAAAGCATAAAATAATACAAAATAACAAGTAATTTATCTGAACTATGAATACAGAAACCTTCTTTATTCACAATATAGACCCTCTAAAGAGAAAGCAAAGCAAAAATGGAAAGAAAATATCAGTCTCTTGAATTAGTCAAAGTAGGTATAAAAGTCCAAACCTGTTCATGCACTTTAGTTTTAGAAAAAGTACAAGGGTTGCAAAGGTCCTTACCAAGAATGAGTTCATACTTAATTCTTTTGCAACGATTAAGGTCATGATTTATCAGAGCCCTAGGCACTTACAGGTCCCCAGCAGCAGAGTAAGAAAGCAGGAGGAGAGCTGGTACAGAGACCTAGAACCAACACTAAAGGGGCAATCAACATCGCTTCCAAGGCCGATGAACTAAAGCCCACGGACGGCAGCCTGGAGCCCATGCCCAGCAGCAGGCCACGGGGATGCCGGCCTATCACTGCACAGAACAGGAGTCAAGCTCGGGCTACGTTTTCCCAGTCATACTCTGGCCTAAAAAGGTAAAATCTCTGTGGCCTTAAGAAAGAGTTCCACACAGAATAGCTATACCATTGTCATCCTTCAAGGAGTAAGTCACCATCTTTCCAAAACACCTTTCCTTGGGATTTCTAGAAAGCCAATATTTTACTGCAATAAATTTCAAACTTTGTGAAGTTTTAATAATGATTTATATGTCACAAGTTATACGATAAATATAAAAGCATTTGTTAAATTTTGAATTAATACACAATATATCTCTAAAAATAACAAAACAAATTCGACTAAAACCTTCTCACACTAAACTACGGAAGCCGAATAGTGACAGCTTAAATGGCACAGTGTGAGCAACTTGGGACATGAGATTAAGGTGAATTCAAAGCTTCTAAGAAGAGCTTATGTTCACGGTCTCCTCGGGGCGCCAAACGGCCCTCAACTCCCCTTTTGCACAGCTACTTCCAGAAATAGTCACTACATTAAACATGTCCTGCTCCCTGAAAAGCTTTAATCAGAAGAAGTATCTTACTACAGAAACGCATCCCCAGTAATTCTATCACAAGTGAGGGACGACTAAGGAAAAAAAATGCTGGCTCTCAACTTGTACTGAGGATCACATTTGTCTAAAATTCACTAGAATTGCATCAACTTGCTCAGTAGTCTGTGCATGTATTTAATTTCTTCAGGCATTTCAAAAATAAACGGACATAACCTCCGCAAACTCTACAATCAGAATAGTCCATATTAAAATCATGTGTATGTTAACGGTAACCCGGTTTTGAAACCACCATCTATGCTCAGGACAGGAGACAAAGTGCAGCAGACCAGGATGGAGCGTGCCTAACCCTAACCTAACCCCTAACCCTAACCCTATCCCCTAACCTTAACCCCTAACCCCTAACCCTAACCCCTAGCCCCTAACCTCTAACCCTAGAAGGCTTCATATCGCGAATAAAAACATGTGGAAAGGATGCTTTTCCCCTTCTTTCCTCTCTGGATGATAAACCGCTTTGATTCCATCATCCCATGTTTCACTCGGGGATGAGGGGGCAGATCAAGGGGAAAAGGGGAGCAGAAGGGCCATGTTCTGGGGGCAGGAACAAGGACCTCACAAGCACATGTCAACACTGAGAAGAGACATGCTCAGAAGAAGTGTTCACAGAGATGAGAGGGGTCATCATCCCAGGCTTTGCAGCAAGAAAGCATTTGCTCCCCAAGACACCTGGGAGAAGCGGTATAGTCAGTCACTTAGAAAACATTTCTAGAGAAACGCTCATGCCCCAAACACAGAAACTGATTTCATTTGGGAAAGATGTAGTGATGCCTGGCCCCGTGCAAGAGGCCCGTGGGGTATTCACAGACGAAGAGAATGTACTCGGCCATACGTGGTGCACAGGAGGGTCAGAAACATTCCAAGTGCAGCGAGCACCAAGAAGTGGAAGGGCAGGGCCCAGAGTCTCCTCTAGGTGCTGCCCTCATTCTAAGACCACAGGGGCTCTCCAAGACCGGGGGAGACAAGGGGAGAAGGAAGACACTCCGGCACAGAAAGCCCGTGGGAAGGACGATCCTTGAGACGCGTGCCTGTTCGGACACTGTGGGAGCCCGGCCTCCCTGTGACGTCAGCTTGCATCCCCAAGTCCAGGGCAGGGCCTGGCCGTGCACGCGGGGCAGGTGATGGAGAGCTCAACAGCCCAGACACCACGGAGCTGGAGGGGAGCGCAGGGGAAACGGCTGAGGGTCCGCCAGGAGCCGCACTTACAAGTCAGGAGACGGCAGTGCGGTGGCAAAGGAAGGGACAAAAGTGGCCAGAACGACCCAGCAATGAGCCTGGAGGACTGTCAGGAGGAGACACTGATCACAGGGAGAAAGGCAGCCCAAAGTTTACGACGGTCGAGGTTTTTTTTACATATCAAACAAATAGGTTGATACTATCAGAACATTCAGCAACCACGTCGCCCTCAAAAGAAAAAATATGCAATATGCCCTCCAAAACGCGTAAACCTTAAAGCGTATTAAAATTACCAGGTAGAAATGGTGACTTCTTCTTCATAATTTTTTTTTCTTTTTTATCCAACTTCTCTGGGCTTTCTTGTTCTTTTTCCTGCTCTGCCTCTGTGGAGTGGGTCTGCTCACTCGAAGCGTGAGGAGCATCCGGATTCTGAACCTGAGCCGAGGGCATCCTGGTGTGGCTGGTGTCGTGAGCGTGTGCTGCAGCTGGAATTGAAGACAGCCCACTGTTTTCTAAGGCTTGCTGAGACAGAACAGAACTAACAGGTTAGGAGGTGGGAGGCCCAAATCTGCCTGCCAAAATCAATTACAGAGATGCAATAAGGCTTTGCCCACAGAACCCTAATTCTGCCCTACTAGCTATAAAAATCTGCACTGCCAACCATCATTTATACAACTCTTTGAAGCTGAAATGTCCCTTCTGAAAACTAACAGCTCACCTCCACCCAAAATACGGTATGCTAAATTAAAAGGACTTGGAATTAATTAATTTGACATTTAGAAATTTTACCTGAGACCTCTCTGGTTATCTCTAAACCATCTGGGAATCACTGTGTTAAGTTACAGTGGGTTCACCCTTAAGACCTTGGCTGTCATGCACCCCGAGATTCTTTATACCAACTGGTCACCCCAAAGGTACACGTAGGTGACAGGTTAGTTTTCACAACTGGTCACTAAATCGGGAGGAGAAGGCAGGCCAGATCTGTTTGTAAATGAAAGATCTGAGGCTAAGGCTGGACCGGCGTAGGGAAATCAGAAAAGCGTGCTCTGCCCCACTTCCTTCTCCTCCTCTCCCACAGGGGCGTGGCCCGTTCACAAGCTGCTAAGAGAGGTGGCCTGACTCTCCCCAATAGTTACAGGAGATATAAGAAAGTTGTGAAAGGCCTATTCTTCTCAAGTAAATCGCTTAGAGAGAAAATTAAGTTTTAAACCTTTTTTTAAATTTATAGATTAATCATTTAGAATTCTGCACTGCCCATAAGCATATTTTGTTCCAACAGAATGTTTTCAATAAGGACGCATATTTAATGATGATTCCTTTATTTGGACAAGTCCTGCCTATTTATTTTTCAGTAACGGTACCCGGTCTCGGACAAGCACAGACGAGAGCAAGAAGGTACGCCTCACCTGCAAAATGTCCTGGTTGATGCCCACGGTGATGCTGAGCTGCTGGCCAGGCTGTGGGGGCTGGCTGGACTCCGCCGGCCCCGGCTCTGAGAGCTCCAGCAGCTGCTGGATGACATCGGTCACGGCCTGGGAATTCTGCTGGCTCGACGCAGACGTGACATGGACTTCCGTCGGCTGGAGAGGTAACGTCTGAAACAGCGTGGCCTGAAACGCAGCAGCATTGTCATTGAAAATGTAAGAAGTATGTTAATTTGTACTTCTCTCAAAAAAAAAAAAAAAAGGAATAGGCACATCTTCCTTAGGAGCATTAAAATCTAACAATATCCCAAACACAAATTTTAAATAAAACGCCTCACTGATTTTTATGTTAGGCACAATATGGGCTCTTAAAGGAACATATTGAACGAACTGTCCCACTACACGTTTCAAAGGTTTCCTGAGTGACAGGGAGAAGATCAGCTCAAGGTGGGGGTGTAAGCTCGCAGGCCCCACCTTCGCGCCTGTCCAGTAAAATACAGAAACAAAAGCGTTACAAAATAAAGAAAATAAGAGAGAAGAAACCACTGTGGCCAAGATAATTCAGGAAATTTCTGGAAAAGAGGGGCACTAGAGGCATAAATGCTCAGGAAAGCCAGAGCCAAGAACATCCAAGGAGAGAGCGCTCTGACTGCCCAGACACGCAGGAGCCTGAAACGCCACGTGGAAAAGACAGTGGCAGTCAGACCCAGCATTCTGTGTGATGCATGAAGGTGGATCCAGGACGTACAACACAGGGTTGGCCTAACGCGTGGGGATTCCTGATCAGGAGTTAGGTGAGGAACCATCCTGAGCTGCCAATATTTTGAGAAAAGAGAACAAAACACAAACCGTAAATGCGAACATAAAGCCCAGGAACCAAGCACTAACGAGTTTCCATGCTGGTGGAGGCAGATGCTGACAGCACAAACCACCAACAAGCCAGCTCACGAGTGCTAACACATGGTGCGCTGCCCCGCGCTCAGACTCAGCCGCTCCCTACCAGCTGCGAGAGGAAAGAGGTAACAGACCTAGGCAGGGCTCAAGACTCCCACCAGAACCCGAACACAAGCGTGGGAGCGAGTGTCATCCGATTTTACACAATTTAGTTTCACAGAAGGCCACATCCTCAGGAAAAAATTACCACTGTCCCATCAGACATGGAGAAATACTATTTTACAATGGTTAACTGATTCTTAAGTCATCACACAGGGATAAAGAATAGTCAACAGTAACCATCAATAGCACTGTAAGAATTACCATTTCATAAATTAATGATTGCATTTTGCGTGCTTTTCATTGGTTCAGGTGACAGTTCTTAAATCAGGATCATCTGATACTAATCTGAAGTTTAAAAAGATTGATTTTCTTTCACTAATTAAAAAAATAAGAAAGTACTCTTACCTCCTTATAGAAAACTTTCATAGCACCTTTGTGGTACTAAATAATATTCCACTTTAAAGGTCACAATTAAGATGACCAATTTTGGTAAAAGGTTATCCCCCTATCAAGCAGCTTGCTAGACTCACCGTTAAAACATGAGCGGTCTCTGTAGAGCTTGCTGGATTCTGTGGTCCGCCCATGTGCATCTTGCTGATATGAGTGTTCAAGCTACCTAGACTTTTAAATACACAACTACATTCTGTACAATTATAGGTAGGGCCATTCTTGACCTTAAAGAACAAAAGAGAAAAAACTGTTTTTTACAATTAACTATTAGACAAAAATATTTAAATTACAGCAAATCATAATTTACCATTCCATTAAAAATGGCAGAAACAATCTAACCATTTAACATTACTTTTTCTTTCAAACTGGATAGTTCTAAAATCAATGACCCAACTCTTGCATTGACCTTGCCAGTGTGAAATTAATTGAAATTTCATAGTCTTTTCCATAAATAAGAACAGATTTGGAAGTAAGAAGACATAGTTTCCAGTTATTGTAATTTGGTGAAAATAAGATACCTGACTTACAGTCTGTTTCTTCAGTGGTTACGCACAGTGTAACACAGGTGTGAGCAGCACTCTAACTAAGCCTTTGGTGCGTTACGATACACAGGCTGGGAAGGAGGGCTGCACCCCGTGTAAGCTTCCATCACCAATCCCAATACTCCATGTCAGCAACTACTTTGTACACAGTTATGATAAAGCCAACAGGGGACCCTGGAGGGGAGGGAAATGAAGCAGAACCTCCGGGTACACAGAAAGCATCTCAACTCTTCCTTCGCCATTATTTAAGCCCGGCGGTAGTTATTCTTGTAATTACGAAGGCTGGTTTGAATACGGACCGGCCTTCTCTGCACACGGATATTCTGTTCCATTTCTAGCACCTTGTTAAGAACCAAATTTAAGGTTTGTCACAGGACTGGATAATATTTACAAACCAACCCTTTGAGGTCATTTCTGGAACACAGCCATCTGCCCCACCACAGGACCCCGGGGCTCTCAGGCCAGGAGCCAAGCAAGCCCCCAGAGGGGTTTCGTTGACCTCAGGAGCACCGGTGGGCATCTCAGCAGGCTGCCAGCGGGGGGAGGGGAATGAGGTCTCTCTGGGTGCCACACGAGTAAGCAGCCATCCCGAAGCAATCGTCTGCACACAGAGGCAGCACCCCCAGAATAACTGGTACAGGCCACTTCTATTCTTCTGAGATCTAAAGGAAACCTCACTCCACATTATCACTGCCTCACTAGTATTTATGTGTTCCTCCTCAGGTGTCTGGGTCTTAGAAAATAAAACTTAGTTTTAAAAAGTAACTCACATATGGAAGGCTGAATATGTTTATAAACTATGTGAAGGGTGGAGGGTTTTTTTTTATTTCAGTGATACTTAAAGCATCAAGGAAAAAATAAAAAGATACACATTTGCTTTTAAAGAATATGAGTCTTCATTCTGCAAAACAGTTATACATAAAATAAAATGATCTATGACAAAAGTGTTTCTGTCACTTGAGCATTAATTTATATTCTACAATTAGACTATAAATCAAACACCAAATCAGGAAAGAGCAAAGGTTAACCTGCTTAAGAGAAATACTTCCAGACATTTTACAAATCAGTATGATCTGCAGACAACAAGAAATGGTGAACAACAGTCTCACTGAAATAATTCACATGGAGGGAAACACACAGACCAGGGCTCTGGCTGATAAAAAACGTGAATGAGGCCATGGGTGAGTTTAGCAATAACGATAGTAATAAGAAAAATACTTTTTTCCTCTCAATTTATTTCTTGTCTTTCAATTTCTTAGACTTGATAGTGTCTGTGTTTCAAGTTTGCTAAAGGGATGAAATGTTAACAACCAGACCGATGGATTGTAACTAACAAAGGTATTATGATTATCTTCAAACATTTACTCATCAAAGCTATAATAGCATCCATAAGGCCACAAAAAGATATTTTCTATCTCTCCACACGGAAGTCAGTAAGGTGTCCACACAGAGATGTACCTATTTGCTTGTTTAAAACAAGGTCTGCTCTGCACAAACTCTAAACCTGTATTTTAAAAGTAGAAAAGAGGGAGCCTGGGTGGCTCAGTCGTTGAGCGTCTGCCTTCGGCTCAGGTCACGGTGCCAGGGTCCTGGGATCGAGCCCTGCATCGGGCTCCCTCCTCCCCGGGAAGCCTGCTTCTCCCTCTCCCACTCCCCCTGCTTGTGTTCCCTCTCTCGCTGTGTCTCTCTCTGTCAAATAAATAAATAAATAATCTTTTTAATAAATAAATAAATAAATAAAAGTAGAAAAGAATTTCTCAGGCTCACTCATTAACTCCAGAGCCATCGACCGCACCCCCACGAGCACCACACAGACCCGAGTTCGATGTTTACCTCTGAGTGAACTCTCTGCACGTGGGACTGGAGATTCCCTTTTTGAGAAAAGGCAGCAGGACAAAAGGCACAGGCATGGGGTTTTTCACCTGTATGCTTAATCATGTGAGTTTGCAATGCCCCCTTCTGGTTAAAAGCTTTCCCACATTCACTACATTTAAATGGCCTTTCACCTAGAGAGGGAGAAAAATGATCAAAATATAATTCCACATGTGTAAGCATCCGATGAATTAAAAGAGAAATACATTACCCCCAAACCCAAGACCCCAAACCTATCTGTCCAGCCAGAACATCACCCCGTACTGTAGACACATGCATCCAACTGACTACTCAAAATCTCAAAGTAAAGACCAAGGTCACAGAGCAAAGGACAGAAAAGCCAACATTACCATCCAGTTCTAGCTGGCTCTAACACACGTTCTTTCCTCTAAGCCGTATCATAAATCGCCCAAAAGTGAATGTATTTCATACCTGTGTGTATCCTAATATGCCGAGTTAACTGACTTGGCTTTTGAAATGTCTTTCCACAGTGCGGGCATGAATATGTGAATCCGCTCCTGTCGATGTTCCGGTTATAAGACCTTGTACTTGATACCCTAGTATAACACGGGGGGAAAATAGTCATGAAGTCGTCTCCTCTGTATTACAATTTCACAATTAAAATGCTACCAGCAAGTGTGGATGACCGGCGGTCAGAACATGCTTTAATGAGAAAATCAATCACATGTAAGTGTGTGTCTCCACAAACAGATACACACAGACATGCAGTTGTTTGGTAGTGTTCATTACCATAAAATTCATTTTTCCCTATCTAATGAAAAGATAAACTTGGCTTTCTTTTCTTGGAGGGGAGAGGTGAGAATGTCCCTTCTGGACACAGCTCTACCTGTGCTGCTCAGACGTAAAGACGTGTGTGGGTACGATCCCTACACTGCCAAGTCGTGCTTTGTCCTCCAGTCTCCTTGCTCCTCAGCACCATCCATGGGCTGAGGACCTCCAAGTTCTCCCTCCAGCACCCCTGACACCAATCCCAGACGTCTCCCTCTCCGCCTGACGTCTCTGCGCTCGGCTGCCTGGGCTGCGAGCTAGTGGGAGCCAAACAGGATTCTGTTCATCCCCCTCCTGCTGCTACCCCACCCAGGAAACAGCAGCTCCCAGTTGGGCAAGGTTAAACCTTAGGAGTCGCTCCCGATTCTCCCTCTCGCCCCCGACTGCAAGTCCATCTTCAAAAGCTACCGGTTTCACTCAAAACACCTCCAGAGATGCTCAGACCTCCCCACTTTTCAGTTACCAGACCACCACCGTCCGCTGTGATGGTTCACCGGCCTCTCTGCCTCAACACCACCCCCCACAGCCACCCCACAGGGGAAGTTGGGGGCAGACTTCCCCTACCCTTGGGATACAATCCTCATTCCCAGGATGGCCTCCTGAGGCCCTCAGCCCCGGGGCCCACCTCCTTCATACCCAGCGCCAGCAAGCTCCCCTCCACGGTGGGCTCCCAAGCGCCAGCCTCCTTTCTGCGTTCCAGTGCAGCGAAAACTCACTGCAGCTGCGCTGTGGCAACTGCTCTCCCCTTCCTGGCCCGCATGGCCCTCCTCGTTTCAGACACCCTCCTCAGCGTGGCCCGCCTCAACAGCCCGCTCACCAACCTGCCCACCTTCCCAGCACTGCCCCAGAGCAATCCAGCTTTCTTCCCTTCTCCACACAAGCACTATCTGAAAGTGTCACACTGACTCATCTCCCTGATAAATGCACATTCCATGAGGATGAGGCTGTCTGTCTGGCCCGTCCCTCCATCCCAGAAGGGCCAGAAGCCAGCGCAGCCGACTGCATGCTGACCGCCTAGACACCCTTCGTCATCTCTCCAAAACCCTCGGAGACACACCAAACCTGCCTCTGTTAAAGCTTCATCCAAATAAAAACCTAGCGTGATGGGGCACATGCAGCATGCTCGGGGCCCCCATTAGTCGACAAAAGGCAGAGTGGAGGGCGTGGGAAGGGTAAGGCGGTGCGGGCCCTGTGGGGTGTGCCGTCCACGCCACTAAAACACAGCGCCTAAGAGGGTGAACAAATCCGACAAAGTCTTCACACAGTATATACCCTTTATTAACTGGTGTGGACACTGCTGTAGTGGTTGTAGTTGTTACTAGGAAGTACACACATACACATACACACAACTCCTCAGCTCGCTCCACAAGTGTGACAACTGAGCACGGCTGTCAGCCTACTAATTAAGCCACTATTATGAGCTCGAAAACCAGGCAATTAGGGTTTAAATCCTTGATGCTTGAAGCCTCCGAGCTGTAAAACCGTGGGAAAGTAACTCGGTCCTGTATCTAGAGCTTCTCACCCACAAAGTGGGGACATAAAGTCTCCAGGTCTGACAGGGCCGCTTGCAATGATTAAGTTTCATTCACACATGTTTAAATGCACACTAAGTGCAAGTGTCAGGAACAGAGAAGTTCTAAACAGGTAGTATGAATAAATCTGTTTGTTATAAAGGGTGCTGATCTGGCCCTTGTGGATCTACCATACACACCTCATTATTTACCTATGAAAACGTTCTGTCAGTACCCTGTCCCACAACTTTTAACACTATAATACTTGCTAAATATTTCGACTCCTGCAGCCTGATGACTGCTTTAAATTTTTGAGCTTCTCTTGCTTACCGTACACGGGACTAGGACTTACACGTTTTAAAAGCTATCCTGACACCATTCCAGATTAGCTGCTGTGTTGCTGCTTCTAAAGTAGACAATATTTTTAAGCAATCATAGCAAAGTACACCCATTTTTAATATGTTGTATAGATTTCTTTTTTTGGCAAGCCCAAGGAAAGGCTCATACCTAATTTTATAATGAGTCTTCATGTGCTCCTTCAGCTGGGAGGATGTCTCGAACTCTTTCCTACAGGCCTTACAGGCATGAAGCCGGCTCCCAGCCAGCTCCTGGCGGTGCTCCTCCATGTGTATGGCCAACTGGCTCTGCAGGGTGAACTCATCCCCACACTCAGAGCAGATGAGATTCTGCAAAAGCAAAGACCATCCATGAGCAGAGCGAACATTTCAAAACCACGACGTCTTAAAAGAACTGGAAATGCAAATGGTGATACACAAATTACACTTTCCTCTGGAACAAACACGATTTTCACCGTCAAAACCTGTGTCATTATGTCCAAATGTGCATATATAAAAATCATCTTGGCTAGAAGAAAAGGAAACCCAGAGAAGCAGATGAGAGAACAGTGCCATTTTTGAGCAAAGACTGGCTGTTGGGTACCTGGCCTTTCGAACACCTGTGCTGAGGAAACATTAAAGAAGCAGAAGGACTTCACCGCCACAGAAGGGTCAGGACAGAACTCAGATCAAGATCAGAGTTTAACAGACTACCTTAAAACAAAGTGACAGCTGATGTTTTTGAATGGAAACACTTATCATTGTTTCACAGGCAGGCTCTCACAGAGAGAGGTCACGGGCTCCATTCAGACAGGGCTTGCCCAGCACCTGAAACAGGCGGGGTCTGAACAGCACGGTGCAAAAAGCACGAAATACACACAGCATTTCAAAGACTTACTGCGAAAAGCCAAGAACGTAAAACAGCTCAATTTTAACATGTGAATAATATTTTAGATGTATTTTCAAAATAAAATATATTAAAATAAAATTTACTTCATCTGGTTTGTTTCTTTTTCTTTTTTTTTTTTAACTCTTTTAATATGGGTACTATAAATTTTAAATGACTCCTCTGTCCTTTAGGTAACAGTGGTACATGTGGCCTGGAGTTGGGCTGGTTCACCACTAGCCATGTGGCATCGGGGTGTTAACCACAGGGATGTCACAGCACCTGCCGCCCAGGTGTAAGATGCTCGACAGAGAGCAGGGCAAAGAGGGAGACCTCAGCCCAGCTCTCGGCAGGAGTAATCGCTGGCTGAGGACGAAGTTGGATGAGCAGACTCAAGAGTTCCGTCGTACAGGTTTTTAAACCATCCTCAACACAGACTGTCCAAACACAGGGAGAAAATGAGTATAACCTGTCAATGAGCAGACACTGTTATTTCCAAATAACAACAGCAACAACAACAAACATAAAATAAATTTTACTTTGATATATCTTAGTTTGAAAATATATACGAAATATTTTTCACATATTAAAAGTTATTGAGCTAGTTCTTCCATCAGACTTTCTTCTAATTTCTATACATAACAGCCCTGTAAGTGTGAGTAAACCCCATTAAAATGAGTAGTTCATTGATACTGAGAGCATCCTCGGCAAAAAAAGATGAGCTGAAGGGAATATTCTGAGCAATCCAATAATGATTTCAACTTAAGTAACATTAAGTTAGTATTATTACATAATAATGTAAGGAAATAATGAGCTACAAGATGTCAGCATCTTGTTGATAATAAAGAAAATTCTTTTCAGGAAATTGTCAAAAAGAAAAAAAATACCTAACAAAATTGGCTGCATCTCTTAAAAAAAAAAAATTCCTAAATTTATATGGCAAAACACTCATTTTTGCTCGGGGCTGCCCCAGGTGTCCCTTCCTGTAATTGTGAAATAAAACTTGGCTCTCCCAACCTGTCCCATCCCCACTTGATTCTTTTAATGAGGAGATTAGTATATTTCAGGGGCTATCTGCACTTGTTTGATCTCGGAACACAGCTCCCTCACTTAGCAAAAGCCAGGGCAAGTGCCCCGGGGCCAGGGGCAAAACCCAGCGTGTGGTGGAGAGTCATCTTGCCTCTGCTTCACACCCAGAAAGCCCCAGGAGCCAGGACGCGCCTCCCACCCGTCCCATCAGCTGGCCACACTTGAGGAAGCCCTAGCAGGGAGCCCCATACCTGGCTTCCTCGCCGACCGCTAAGGGACATTCCCCTGTCCTGCATTCTCCATATTCAGAGCTGCCAGCAGTCCTCCAGGCTAGAAGTAGTGACTGCTTTGTCCCCTAGAAACAGACCCTTCTGGGTAATTTCCATCCTGGACGAGTGACAAGCAGAACTCGTCAAGGGAAATGCATGGCATTCTGATCAGCCCTCATCTTGCTGACGGTCTAGTTTTTACAGGTCAGAGTATAAAATATGATAAATACTAACCGCCTTGCAGCCGCTCTCCCTGTAACAGCTGCCCTTCTAGGTCCCCGCCAGGGGCCACCGCATGACCCTTCCCCGTGGCCCCATCCCTCAGACCATCCCTCACACCCTCCACACTCCAGTAGGGAATGTCCTCTCCCTGCCCTGGGCTTCATCGGGAGGCTCCGGGTTCCCCATTCCACTGCCAAGCCCTTCAGCTGAGTTCTTTATGTTCACTGCATTTTTCACTGTAATTTCCCTTTGGTTCTTCTCTCTTCTATTCAATTTTTTCATTTGTTTCAAAACAATCGTTAAAGCAATTTTATGATGACTGCTTTAAAATCTTTGCCAAATAATTTCATCGGGGTCCCTTCAGTGTTGGAATATGCTGTCTTTTCTCATTACGTTACAGTTGGAGCTATCATGGTTCTGGGTCTGTTGAGTGATTTTCCACTGTATCCTGGACACTCTGGGTGTCAGGCTGTGAGACTCTAGATCTCTGCTTATCTTTTATCAGGCAGTCACTCCGCCTAGATGCGGCAGAGGAGCACGTCAGGGGTGAAGGCTCACTACAGGGTCCCGCCAACCCCAGGGCTTGTAGAAAGCACAGTGCAGACTAGTCCATCCTGCATCCTCATATCTCACTGCTGTCAGGTGCAGTGAGGCTCGGCTCCCCACTGACCCACCGGCACTACTCTGGCAGAGAATCACAACACTGCCTGCTTCTGCCGGGCAGAGTATGAGAGGTCAGCTTCCAGCCTGGCTCTGCTAACACATCGGGTGGCGGAGCCTGGGTACCACCTCCTTCTGCCAGAGAGAGATGCAAGATTACCTCTGTACTTGATCCCAGGCGGTCACGGGATCAGAGGGCCATCTGTTTAGGAACCGGGACAGGCTGGGGTAGAAGATCACTCACAGCCTTGCTGAGCAATTTCTCAGTTGGTATTTGGCTGGAGCAGGGTGGGCATCGTCAAAAAATTTTCTATTGGTAAACCAGTCTTTTGTTGCCAGTTTTAACTTAGGGGAACCAGCTTTCCTTGAAGCGTATTTTCATCTGTGCCTGTTGGCAGAAGGCTACAGGCTTCTCCAGCAACCTGTCCAGGTGTATGGGACTAAAAGAAGCCAAAGGAGCTCACTGTCGTACTGTTCCTCAGGTCCCGAAGTCCCTCAGCTGCCAGCCTTCTTCCCGCCTTCCACAGCCCTCTATCAGCGGGTTATGTGCCCACTGGGTGGTGTCCGCTGTGGCGGGGGAGGGGGGCTGGGATAGAAAGGCTTCTCCACGGGGCGCCCGGTGGCTCAGTCGGTTGGGCAACTGCCTTCGGCTCAGGTCAGGACCCTGGAGTCCCGGGATCGAGTCCCGCATCGGGCTCCCTGCTCGGCGGGGAGTCTGCTTCTCCCTCTGACCCTCTTCCCTCTCGTGCTCTCTCTCTCTCTCTCTCAAATAAAATGAAAAAAATCTTTAAAAAAAAAAAAAGGAAGGCTTCTCCATGCTGGCTGGATCCTTACAGGTTATTTTTGCATGTGACTAAAAGTCAGGACTTCTGCCTGTATTACTAATACCATATTCATACCAAGTCACTGAGAAATAAAAACATGCCAAAAAGAAAAAGGTAGCCAGAAATGTAGTGCTTGAACATATGTGGGAAAGACTGATAATTGTGTTCCAATATCTATTCTTCTTTCTTACACGGTAATAGATCTCCTCACCGAGCATAGGGCTCTGACTAGAAACTACTTGCCACCACTGTGCGTGGGGACTGTGTTCTCCCGCGTGCAGACCGCGCCTCTCCCTCCTCCTCGTCCTCGAGCCACGTGACAGAGGTAGGATTCGGGGGAGGGCGCTGGACAGCCTCGGAGGGTACAGCGGCCCTACCAACTCCAAACCGCACAAGGCCACACAGGGGACAGAGGAAAACTCCAAACCTAACACCGCCCTTTAAGAAAAGAGCGCCCATTTTTCACACAAGGCCAACGCATTTTCCCACCCGAAACAAGCACTTCTTTTTGCTTCTGCCCAGGGAGAACCCTCGCCAGGAGCTCCTGCCCGGCGTGGGGTGACCAGGCCAGGTGACTGAGTCTCTCTCCGCGGCAGACACAGCGGCTCTGGGCCACGACCGGCATCCACATTCGCGCCGCCACCTGCCGCGGGCCCTGGGCCCCAGCGCCACCACAGCCTCTCCCTCCCCCGGGACCGTGGGTGGCTTGAGGGACTCAAGAGGAGACACACAAGACAGGACAGCAACGGGAACAGAAATGCAGAGTCTACTCATCTCAGCAGATACACGTTCCTCCAAGGCCTTTTTAAGAAAAAAAGGAGTCCGAAACGAGGGCACGCTGACGTTGTCACGACCATGACAGCGAGAGGCAAAGACAGCTGGGCTGTCTCCGAGGACACTGAGGCTCAGGCGGGCTTCGGGGACCTGCCGTCCTGGCACAGCTACAAACCACAGGGCCCGCCTCCAGCAAAGGAAGGGACACGGGAGGCAGCCCTCAGAGCCAAGGACGGTGAGCTCCACCTGGAGGAACAACATGGGAAAAGACGTGGACAAAGCGTGTGGACAAGAAGAGACAACGAAGGCAAGATTTTGAAACCAATGCCCAAGAAACTAAGACTGTCTGGAAACGATCAATTACTGTTATCGCCCTTTCCCACCACGGAGAAAGTCAAAGTCGATTTCAGCCGGCCGCGCTGAAGAAGCAGTGCAGTGGGGACGCAGCGAGGCGCAGGGTCCCGCGAGGGGACAGCCCGCGGTGCCACCGCCACCCTCGGCGGGCGCCCTGCTCCCACACAAGCACAACGGGCCCCACCCATCCTCAGCGCCCCCCGGGGGCCCTGCGAGAGCACCCACAGCCGCAGCCCCGGCTCGCGTCGTCGCCCTCGCGGCCCGGAGCCCGTGTCCCCCCTGTCCTGACGCCTTTCCTCAGGCCATCCCGCGGGCTTCCCACAGGCCCAGCTGGCTGCGGCCGCCGGGGCTCCTTCTCGGCAGCGACCGCGCGTCCCACGTATACAGCCCGTGTGCCGCGCTCGGATCAGGCTCTGCTCCCCTGTCCCCAGGCAGGCTTCCCGCGCCCATGGCCAGCCGCCTGCTGCCTTGCCTCAGGAAGACAGAGCAGCGCCTCCATTTCACAGAGACAAACGGGGGGGCTCTCAGGCCGCCCCAGGCTCCGGGCCCGGCGCCCAGCGGCACCAGGCCCGGCTCAGGGGCCCTCTCCAGGGCGACGCAGCCCAGGCGGACGCCGAGCTCCACGCTGCCCTTGTGAAGGTGGGTTTCGGGAGCTGCCACAGGTAAAGGCAGGCACCGAGCCGGAATCGGTGTGGAATGGGAAATCCCGGGTTCGAGAAGCTGTGCGGGGCCCAATTCACCAACAGTAGCTGTTCACGGGACTGCTAAGCTTGTAAGACAAATCCTGGGCTGCGGGGAGCGAAGCACTGGATAAAAACAGAAAGCCACCCCTGGGTTTGGGCCTGAGCGGAAAAGCTTACCGATGGGGCGCGGGAACTCCACTGCGGCCCAGCAGGAGCGGCCTCCCTGGTCCAGGCCTGCACCCCCCCCCCCGCCTCCCCCTGCATCTGTTCCCGGCCTCGCCTGCAGGCCTAAGGAAGAGCTGTCCTCCCTTCACACTCACCTCCGGCAAGACATCATCCCTTGCCACCCAGGTGAGGGCCTCTGAGGACCAACAACTGTAGCAATGGTAACTCTTGGGTCTGAGATGGGTTTTGTGAGCAGGAGGAAAAGCACGCACTAAAGTGTTTAGAGGTGAAGCGGTAACAGGACGATGGGGTGAAGTGGCAGGGGTGGTGTCTGGCAAATTTTAATAACTGGTCAATCCAGGTAAAGGATTCACTGTTCTTGAGTATTCATTGTACCAATCTTTCAAGTGCGAAATTTCTCAAAATAAAAAGGCAGGGGAAACGCGATCACTACGTATTATGATGACTTATACTGATCAACAGGTCGATTTTATTCTAGACACCCCCCAACATACTAGTGAAAACAAAACACCTTATTAACCAATTATTATTTGGTTAAAACACAAAACTAAAACACAAAACACACTCCTTTCCTATGGACAAATGACAAAAATGTAACAGAAAGACCCCCAAATGATATTAATAAAAATCCTAGAACACTTTAGAATTTAAACAGACTGAACCCATATGAACAAAACATCACTGCGATGTTTTTTTGTTTTTTGGTTATTTTTTGGTGGCAGCAAAGGAAGGTTTATTAAGCGATAGCAAAGTGATAGTACAGAGCTCCCGAGGAGGGAGGGGGCCTGAGAGGATTGCCACTGGAGCTCCTACGTCTAGGGGGTTTTATGGGCTGTTTTAATCTGATCAACCCCCCCTGTGCTGGTCATCCAATCAGGTTTTTGTCACCTACCTATCACGTGGGAAAGGGTGGAAGGCTACTGAGATGTTTTGACAATAAAGATTCAAACCTGTAAACATGTTCAATTTTCCCCTGTAACAATCTAAAAATTTAAGTCTACCTAAGTAAAAGTACCAACTGATTTTTAACGAGGCAAAATTCTAACGTTCACATTAATAATAAACCAGAAAAGGAAAACAGGAAGCATATGAACATTTGCTTATCATGACAGCGAAACACAGCAAAGACAAAGGTGAAACTCGAGAAGGTGGTAGTGCCCCGGGGACCCTGGGAGGACCAGGCAGAGGGTACAGGAGGCAGCGGCTCTTCTGATGCCCCTTGTTCATGTCACTGTGACTTGTAATAGTAAGTTACCATCCAGATATTGAAACCGACCCCCGCCCCACCCTCAACCCCTACTCTGCTTTGGATTGTCTTTGTGGTCACACCAACTAGACCCACGTCAAGGGCAGTTAGGGCGCACGGGAAAGGGGTGGGCCTACAACAGGACGTGGACTGAACCCAAGAGCCCTGGACGTCCCTCAGCCCCTAGACCATGTTCACAGACTGACTTACAGTGGGCTGAGCCAGGCTAGACCATATTCACAGGCTGACTTACAGTGGGCTGAGCCAGGCTACTGCGAAGCTGTTTCAGAGGCAATGACAGGACAGGGCAAAGGAGTGGCGAGTGTGCCCTTGCAGGAGCCTGGGTCCCCACGGTGGAGGATGGGAGGGAGAGAACTGGAGGTGGAGGGATCGGCGTGACCTCCCAGGCTGTGCGATGCATGTGTGTGCTGTGCAATGCGGTGGGACTTGGGAAGTACTTCCCAGCAAGTCACAAGAACCAGAATCTGTAGATGAGCAGATTGCTCATTGTAGCTTTGTCTGTCTGTACAGACACAAGGCTGGAAACCACCCACGTCATCTGCCAGGGGCGACCTGCGACTGTACGCGTGTACACAACGTGTCTGCCAGGGGCGACCTGC